AGAAACTTACCTCCGTTGTTTTGCAAGTACACAACCTAAGGATTGGTGTAGGTGGATACCATTTGCCGAGTGGTGGTACAACACCAGTTACCATTCGACAGCGAAGAGCACCCCATTCTAGTTGCTATACGGGTATCAACCCCCTTCCCTGTTATCTTACATTCCAGGGACAACCAAGGTTCAATCAGTAGAAGAAGAAATGAAATCCAGGGATAATATGATTTCAGAACTGAAGCTTCACCTGAATGCAGCCCAAAACCGCATGAAGAGATTAGAATACAAGCACAGATCAGATCGGGAGTTTGCAGTCGGAGATTGGGTGCACCTCCGTCTCTACTCTCTAGCCTTATAGGTAAGGAAGTGTGGGAGCCAGAAAATCTCAAAAACTATCAGCCAGATTTTTTGGCCCACTTAAAATACTCACTCGAATTGGGCTGGTGGCCTACAAGCTGGAGTTGCCAGAAGGGAGCCGCATCCACCCACCTTTACATTCTAATGGACTCTATACCTGACACTATTCTGGGCCGAAGAATGATTAAAAGAGGTAACAAGGCAGCTACAGAAATTTTGGTTCAATGGAAAGGGGCATCAGCACAATATGCCACGTGGGAGTTTTGGTTAGATCTTCAGAAGCGATTTCCAGGAGCATGCCTCGTGGACAAGGAGTCAATTAAGGGGGAGGGAATGATACGGGCTCCCCTATTAGCAAGAGGATGGCAAAGCCCAGCCCATTACCCAGATCAAACACTCGACGGGTTAGAAGCCCACGAAACTCTTACTATCCACACACAGGTGTCTGGGTGTCAGACACCATCACACCGTTTATGTTTTACCTTTTTCTGTTATGATTGCAACCGATTATTGGGGTAGCCAATGATTGTTAGGTGACGTGGCGATATAGCACATGGGGTGTAAGAAGGCCTATATATGACCCTTGCGAGATCATGAATAATCATCGAGTATTGCCATTTTCGTTATTACGTAGTCTTCTGATTTTTTTTCCTTGAGCGGTGCCTCCAAGCACCATAGCTCGGAAGGGTCGGAAACCCTCTTCTCATTTCCGGGAAGGGAAGAGGTCGCTACCAAATGACTATCAGAAATGGAATGAAATTCCAATTCCATTCAACCAAATGATTAAAATTAGAATGAGCCATTCCGATTCCAATTCCAAACCCCCTATTCTCACAAATCAAATACGCCCTAAGTTCAGTCTCCGTGATAATGAGAATGCCTCAGTGTTATGGGGCTAGTCATTTGAGCCCCGTGCGGCACTCAAATGGAGTGAGTAAGCTTAAGCAACAAGTAACAATACAAGAAAATGCAACAAGATGACACACAAATTAGTCAAAAGGCACTTTATATTGCATAAATTGGTGGCAAATACAAGCACATAGTTTAGTGTCGAGGGGATCTCGTACTTAACCTTTACACGCTATTGATTCACTCAACTACCTATCTCCCCTCAAAGAGTACGTTAAGCTTTTGGGGGGAGTGACAATAAGAAACATGAAAATGGTGAATAATCATACTACGGAATTACAAGATTGCCATTGGCATTCCCCCTATACAAGATACATGTAATGTCCCATGCAAGACACACACTTAGACACTTGGATGGCATGTTGTGGGCGTGGTGATGGTGCTTGGTGGCGCGGCAAAGTATTCACTTGTGACATTCTCCCCCACTCAATTCAGTCTTCGTCCTCGAAGACTGGCTTCTGATTGTGGCTCAGATCTGCTTATTGATGACGAAGACTGGCTTCTGCTTGTGGCTCAGATCTGCTTATTGATGAAGGAGGGTTCTTTAGTTGCTCCACGAACTTGGTCTTTTCCAAGGCCCGGGCATAAGGTTGGGTGAAAGGCTTTAGGGTGTTCTTGATGGTGGGAAAACCTATGGCTAGTCCCTACATTTAGTCCTTGCCTCTACTTCGAGATAGGATTTTGGATGTCCTGTTTTGGTGGAAGGTAAGATTGTGGCCAAGGCTAGGTCAAAATGAAGGTTTGGATTTTTCAGGTATTGGTCCCCATGATGATTTTTCTCCCAAGGGTTGCTCCTCACTAGGCTCCTATGAGGGTTGGCTTGACCAATGTGGTGGCAGACAGGGTACCTAAGTGGATTTGGTGGTATTCGCTCTCCCCGATGATGGTCATAGTGAAGGTGGTTGTGGCTGGAGATGGCCTTGGGCCTTCCAGGAGTCTTCTGTGTTGTTGGCTTGTGGTGCTGACGTTGGTGCTGCTATTGATGTTGATGTTGGCACTGGTGCTGGAACGGCTTTGGGGGAGACTTCTTCTTGGTGACAACTTCCCAACCCGTTTCGGTGTTGATGTGAGATGTTGGAATGGGGGTCTTCTTGGTTGGTACGACGCTGGCTTTGTAGTCATCTATTTCTTAGCACAGTTGTAGAGCTGAAAGTTGTTTCCCATGTACTTGGAGGGCTAATGTCAATGGAATCATGCATGGAGACTACTCATCCAAGATGAGTAGATGGTCAAGGTGTGGCATGAGGGTTGCTTCTGCTTGTGTTAGGAACTCCACTCTAAGAACAACTTCAAAATCATCCAAGGGAACCACATATAAGTTGACTTTGCCTTTCCACGGTCCCACTTGTAGGTCTACTCCACGGGCCATACCTTCTACTGCCTTGGCCCCCGAGTTGACGGCCTTGATCTACTCTGTTTGTTTGGTAATGGTCAAGCCAAGTCGCTTTGCCTCTGTAAGAGAGATGAAGTTGTGGGTGGCCCCAGTGTCCACCAATGCTTGGGTCAGCCTCCCGTCGAGGGTGATGTCCACATATTTTAGCCCCTTGTGGGCTTTGGTGGGCCACTTAGATGTGACCTCTTTCTTTACCATTGCATTTAGCAATTGAAGGGCACCTACTCTCGGTGCTGGTGCAGGCTTCTCCTCATCACTCTCTTCATCATCATTGAGCTTGGCGATGAGGGCATTGATCTTCTTTCGCATGGGACAGTCGCTAGTCTAGTGCTTTTCATTGCAAATGTAGCAATGTGAGGGAGGAATTGCAGGTCTCCTAGTGTACCGATGGCCTTGATAGCTTTGGGCTCCTTGTGGCTTCTTCCCTAGTTGATAATTGTTAGGCTGCATTGGTCTCTCTTGTGTGGTGGTTGAATGTTGATCTCCCCCACTCAAACTCGTGGTACGTGGACTGGATGGCTTTTGGCCTTCTTCATCAGGTGTCCTTAGATCAACAAGCTGCTTAGCTACGACCATTGTTGTGGTGAGGTCCTTCACACCACGCCGTTGAAGTTCAAGCTCAGCCCATGGTTTGAGGTGGTCCATGAAGTTGAACAAGAGGTCCTTGGCTGACATGTCGGAGATCTCAAGCATCAAGGCCGAAAATTCTTTGACGTAGTCCTGTAGCGATTCCTGTTGTCTAAGGTTTTTCATTCTTTTGCGTTTCAGGTACTCCACGTTCTCAAGGTAGAACTGACGTTTGATCTCAGGCTTGAATCTAGCCCAGGTGTCGATGGTGCGGGTGCCATGTTCAATGTCTTGAGAACACCTACACCACCATAACATTGCAACATCATTCAAATACATAGTAGCTGTGTGTACATGAGTTTGGTTGTCAATAATGCTAGCAGTCGAGAAATATTGTTTTAGTTGCCACAAGAAATTGTCAAGCTCCCTAGCGTCTCGGGCGCCTGAGTAGGGTGTTGGCTCATGGATCTTGATGTGTATGGGAGCTAGGGTGGCTGAAGTGCTGGTATAGTTGGCCACCGCCCTCTTTAGGAGAGTCATCTCATCTCTCATCTCGTCTAGTTGTGCTTGAAATTTGTCTAGCATGCCCTGTAGGCTACTCTGAGAAGGTCCCACTCTCGAGCATTGTAAGGTGGCATGCATCTCTCTGAAGGCGCCATTGAATTGCCCTTCTAGTTCAACCACCGCATTCTCAACAATCTCTAGGTTGTGGTGTAGCTCATCAACCTGATCTCTGGTTTCACCTAGTGTCGTCTCGCAATGTAGGATGCGCATGTCCATGCCAGCAAGTTGGTCAACTGATTTGTCACACTTGCTATCTTTAGTTGTGCGGCCCTTCGGGGCTTGTGTCTTGGCAGGATCATCGAGTGGTGCCTCATCGGTGTCATGGGCTTGGTGCAGTCTGTGTAGTATGTCATTGACAATGTCACGATTGCTCTTCATTGTGCTGATTAAGGGGCAGTGGACAAGGTCCAATGTGCTACAAGAGCTCCTGCTCTGATACCAACTATCATGGGGCTAGTCGTTTGAGCCCCGTGCGGCACTCGAACGGGGCGAGTAAGCCTAAGCAACAAGCAACAATACAAGAAAAGGCAACAAGATGGCACACGAATTAGTCAAAAAACACACAATTTAGTGTCGAGGGGATCTCGTGCTTAACCTTTACACGCTACTGATTCACTCGACTACGTACCTCTCCTCAAAGAGTACATTAAGCTTTTGGGGGAGTGACAATAAAAAAAATGAAAATGGTGAATAACCATACTACAAAATTACAAGATTGACATTGATATTCTCCCCGTACAAGATACATGTAATGTMCCACCCAAGACACACATCAGGGCATTATCCTTTATTAAATATTAATTGCAGACAGCATAAATTACAGTGGAGCACGAATATGTCAGAAAAAATAATAACCAACTTAGGGAGATTAATGCAGGTTGACTACAATTAATTGGGTTTGAGGGCTACATGCCTACAATCAGTTTTGTCAGATTTAGGGCTAAATTAAACCAGATATTGAACTATTGTGGTCATCAATGGGACATGAGTCGAACAGTTCAATGATTCAATTGAATTGCAGTGCAGATATGAAGATCAACTAGTTTATCACCTAACAACACGTAAACTTCACACAAAAGGAGTGAGGCACCTCTCTCACCTTTCCGCTCATACTCTTCCATTATCATCTTATATAAATCAAACTCATTTCTCTGATGTTCAAGTTATTACTGCAAGCCGCTCGTCGTCAGTCTCCGGCATCAGAGACAAAGCAAAAATGGAGGCTGTAAGGCTTTTCATCACGGTTTTTCTAGTCCTAATAGCCAAGATCATCTCCGTGCCACCGCCACCTCACCCGCTCTGCATCTCTGAGATTGCCCTGGTAAGCAATGCTTGTGCATTTGTGCCTATAGAACATCATCTTACACAATTGACTGCGACTAGGACTACTCATCGGGGAAATCAAGAGGAGCTGGTAAATGAGCAGCAGAGACAGCAGGAGCATGACAACGAGGACGATCGGCAGGAAGGTCACAGGCGCAGGAACTACCACCATGATGGGCCAAGCGAAGAGTGTTGCAGATGGTTGAGGGAGGTGGATTCCATGTGTGTCTGTCAGCTGTTCGTCCCAATGCCTACGTTCCTCAGGAGACCTTTGCACTCCTACACGATTATGGTTGATCATACGTGCAAGGTCGTATTTAAGTGCCCTCAGCAACTAGTTTAATCGACAATGTGATGCGGATCTATATGCATGTTCATATATATCTTGTGATCAGTCGGGGCTTGAGATATCAAATATATTTAAGGTCTATGCAAATTTATACATGCTTTACTTTGTGCTTGCTTCAAGATATAGGGGTCTTCAGTTAGTTTCAGTCTCAATGACTAGGAAATAAAATTTACATAATTGATCGTTTCTTTAAACCCTAATTGAACTCAACCATGGATGTACATATTCAATGGATTTCAAGTTGGGAAAATTGAGGTTGTGTTTGGTACTATTGCTGCTATTTGAGACTGTTTATGGTTGAAACATGCATATCTTAATGCAAGCGTGGGAGGTTGTTTGAAGAAACATCAAATTGGCGTTTTCAAAGGGGATGAATTAAATCTAATCATTCTAGCTGAAGACGACTCTCTTATGTGATGAGAAAACATATATCCCTCACTAATTTGTATTCATCAATTGAAAATGTTTCAGGTAGAATCAACAGTGGTACCTAACACAACCTTCTTGTTCCAAGGAGGTGAAGTTTGACCATTTTAGCTGAAGTGGTTCTCATATGTGATGTGGTGATTTCACAAATATAATTGGTATCGATCCATGCCAAAAACGTTTCTAATAAAAACAGCAATGGTATCCTATCAAATAGTGTTTTAAAAACCAACCCGGAGGCCAAACCGTTTTTGCCTCCAAGTCGTGGGTCACCGGTTCAACCAACCGGGTCAGATGGTTCAAAACGTGCCATATCAGAGCAATATTAGCATTTATATATTTTAAGTGTTTTTTTTCACGGAAATAGTGGGGTAATTTGAACTGGCGCCTGATTATGCTAAGTCGGTGGCTTGGTGTGACYGCCGCTTCAGAGCAATTTGAACCAGCCACCTAAGGCGGCGGTCTTGACCTAAGCCGGCAGAGGTTTAGGGGGCGGACTGAAGACCACCGCCTTAGATCAAAGCCAGCGGTCCGGCTTAGACTGATTTTCTTGTAGTGGCAAGGCATGGGTGGATAGATCTCGAAAAGTTATCCAAAATAAAAGAAATCACCTCAGCTGGACATCGAAATGCAAAATTATGTCCTCCCGAAATTTGCATACACAGTTAGTATGCAACTTGCAAGCCGACCATTAGGTTGACTGGGTCAATGGTCCAACCGTCCTATTTGGACCTTTTTTGATAAAATCAACGTTTTTCAACATTTTCCAGATTTTACTCAAACTGAACCCTGAATCTTGACTGAATAACGATTCAAACGGTTCAACTGACCGAATCAACAAACACTACTATCAAATACAACCTTCTTGCTCCATAAAAGTGAAATCTCAACATTCTAACTAAAGTGACTCTCATATGTTATTTCACAATACATTGTATTATATATTGATAAACCTATAATGTTTCTGGAAGAAACAACAATAACACCAGACATTTGAACTTATCATGGGCAAACCCTACCATTTTCAGCTTTGGGTTCTCCCACTTCGGATAGATACTGTATTATTTAATATATCATTCAGCCAGATGGAAGAATTCAGTCGGTAGATTTTCTCTTTTTACTCCATAAAGTTTATAGCACTAACAACCCAGCTACATCATCTCCATCACATCCACAAAATCCTGATTGAAGGGGTAATTACTGCATCCACTTGTATCAAAATATTTGTGCCCTAAAGTTAGCTTCCGTATGGTAGTAAAAATTTATAACCGAACCAATATTGCTTGGTTGTGTTGGAGTTTTTGTTTTTTTTTTCAATCACTTATTGAACTGTTAATGGGTCCATAAATGGCAAATAAACCTCTTTCGATTAGTGTATGACTGAAAGTAAACACCTTTTCCACTATAAATTCCATTTTTGATCCTTATCACCTTTTTCTTTGGCAGTAGACCTTATCGTTATCATCTTCCTCAATAGTTTCATTCTATTTACCGTGCATAATTCACCACATGTCAACACCTCATATGGTTATTTTTATGTTGGATGTAAGCATTTTTGCACTGAAAGAACTCGATGGGGATAAAAAATAAAGGCTTGTGAAAGAAGAGACCAGTTGTGAAAGGGATGGAGAAGTGGCTGAAGGAAAGTAAAAGTATAAGATAAGCTTTCTTTTTCTCACCACACACCACATTTTCTTTCATTCTCCTACATACATTAAAAAGTATAACATATAGTTTAAATATATATATATATATATATAGATAGGATGGCCATTTTTTCCACAAGAAAAGATTTTTTTTTTTTTTTTTACTTTTATCTTAAGCATTTGAAGAGAAAAATTAAAAATAGAAAAAAAGTGTTTGGTAGATAAAAATGCACTACTTTTCACCACTAATACCATTAAATGCATCTTGATCTGTAAATATTACCCCTTAAGTAATTTAATGTTTCTTTTAGCATTATAGGGTACAATATATATATAGTTAACTTTATAAACATATAAGGGTTCTGTTTGTTTGTAGTAAAAAAACTGAATCACATAGTCAATTTTGCATCTATTTGTTAGTAATTATGATTTGCACACTTATCTGCTACCAAATTTATACTTTTTTGTCTCTTTTGTATTTTTAAAATTTATGCAAAATTTTGCACCACCTTCTCCTACCTCAATCCTCTCACAGGATCATATCATTTTCTACTTAACTCGATACTAAACAAATACCACTCTTTCATACAAAGTGGCGACCGCATAATTAATTTTGCTTCTCATTTTACTTCTCACCAACAAATTAACAAGGTAAAATTTCAATCTGAAGCAAAAGTAACCCTGGATTTCTACTTCCATGTAAGTTTGCACTACAAACAAACTGAACCCTAGGACGCAACATTATAAAACTCATTTTGTACTAGATCAAGATGCATTTTGCTGTAGTACGTGGTGCCAAAAAATGTATTTCTGTGCCACAGAATTTGCACTAAAAATTGTGTTCGTGTACATTATATATGCACACATGCGTGTGCATGCATGCGCGCAATAACACTCTAATGTCCAGTAAAAGTTCACTTTTGCTACTACAAGGTTTTAGCTGTTGGCTGCAGCCACAAAATAAGAGGTTCCACGTCAGCTAGGGTCCAAGACTGTTTTCTATATTAACATTGCCACTTTCCATGAAAGCAGCAATGAACTCAGTTATCTATTTGAAAAACGTTAATTGTTAGAAGGCAGTTCATGAGTAGCAATTGTAAAATAGGACTTTCTACCAAAAAAAATTGTAAAATAGGACTATTGTTATTATAAATTTATTGCAATGTTATCTAGTTATTTGATTATTAATTTGTTATTGTACTTTATTTTATTAAATACAAGGGTAAATTATAGATACCCTTGTACTTTGGGGGTAGTGATACTCGAGGTCCTAAATTTTCGATTGCGACACCTTAGTATTCTAACGCCATGTTTGGAAGTGCTTAAAAATAAGTGCTTATTTGGGCCATTAAGCACTTATTGGTATTTGGGAAATAAACCCGAAATAAGTGCTTATTTTAAGAATAAGGGCTTATTTTTTAAGCCCAAATTTCTAGCTTTTTTTTTAAGCCCAAATTTCTAGCTTTTTTTAAGTATTTATACATTAAGCACTTATTCAATTTTTTTTCTTTCAAAATTATCCCTAGTTGAATTTTAAAATACCACTTATAAAATTATCCATAGTTGAATTTTATAAAAGTAGTTTTATGAAAGCACTTTTACAAAAGTATTTTTTATGAAAACACTTTTGTAAAAGTGCTTTTACAAAAGTACTTTCATAAAAGTGCTTTCATAAGGGTAGTTTCTTAAAAGTGCTTTCGTAAAAGTACTTTTATAGAAGTGTTTTCATAAAAATACTTTCATAAAAGTGTTTTTATAAAAGTAATTTAATAAAAGTGCTTTTCAAAGGGTATATTTTTAAAATTTGAAAGAAAATGAAGGACAATATAGTCACAAGTGCTTATTAGAGAAAAAGGCTACGAAACACCCAATATAAGCACTTATTTTTAACTTAAACACTCCCAAACATGGCCTAAACTTTTAGAAGCATACACTTAAATCTAATTTTGATAAAAGTGATGTTAATATAAGAATAAAATTACAAAAATGCACATATTTTAAACACATACTTAAGTCTAATTTAGAAACCACATTGTAAGCATTAGTCAGTATTCATCCATCCTCGTCGCTTGGGAGCTTCACTAGAGAACTCAAATGTTCTCACTTTGTTTCTGGATGTTTTTATTTAGGTATAAACATTAGTTGCTGTGTTATTCTGTGAATCACCATTTCTTTTGTGTTGCCATTGGATTGTGTCCAAAGGCAGAAAAAGAGGAACAATAAGAAAAGAGAATCTAAATATGGGCATTTTAGTAATTTTCACCTTCATATAATGCTAGTTTAATGGAGTTACACTTTAAGTATATATTTCTAAAAGTTCAAGATATTAAAATGTTGCACTTAAAGATTCAAACACTTAAGTATCACTACTCCATAAATACAGGCCGGGTACCTATCTGTAATTTACCCCAAATACAAATAACCTTCAATTTCCTTATAAATATATACCAAAATTTCAATCAAACTGTATTTCGTTACCTCAGACCTTGCATTAGAAAAAGACCCAAGATTTTTTTTTTGTAAGGTCGAGGACAAGAAGGGGTATAAGAAGTTTCTTTTGTCCTTATCGCAATGGAAGATTTAAGGCAATAAACCTGTTCAAATTTGTAATTTAAGGAGTTTACATCTCCGCCTCATAACACTCCACAGCATATTCTCGCCATGCATTAAGAACATCTTTCGATGATAGTACCAGTCTTAATGATGTCATCCTCTAGAGATGTTTCCAATACACATCCACGGGGATGTACTATGTGTAATTGAAGGGTTTTCTCACTTCTCAGCTAGGTGGGACCAATCTGTGATAACTCCAAATCCTCTAACAACCTTAGCCCTAGCTAGCCACGAAAGTTTGCCACCTCCAGCAAGAAAACAGCTGGTTGTCTCTATTATATTGTTGATGGAGACCGATTTTCTCTAAAA